TTTTTTTTTGGACTTTGGTCCGGGTTCCCCTTGTCAGTGTTGTGGTCCCCTGTGGTTGTCTTGTTTTTTGGGGTTTTGTTTTTCTTTGTTTGCTGGCTCTGACTGCCGACTGTTAAGGACATGTGAGTTTTGTGTTTTCACCGTGTCTTGTATGATTTTCTTTTGTTCAACGTTAGTTCTCTTAATAAAGAGACGGTTTTGTTTAACACTTCCTCGTCTGGCCATTTAATTGAGTTCACCTAACACTTTTCGGCCGCATTACGCGCGCCATTTCGGACAATTTTGGCATTTAAATGGCTGCTGTTCTTAAGAAACTGCAGTTTTTTCCCATCTGGCACTGGGACCTAAGAGCAGTAGCTTCCCGAGATGTCTTAGAGTATGGATTGGGTATTTCTATCCGAACCCAACCCTTGCCCGAGACTGTGGCAGCCAAACCTGAACCGGACCCGGCAAACTTATAGTATATAATGTCCGAACCCAAACTGAGCCTGATGCAGATGAAGTTGTATGGTGTTTTTCCCTTATCATTAAACAAAGCTGACATTTAAGCACTCCAGCCGTCTAGCCTAAAGTTTGACCTACATGTCCGAACCCGGCCTGACCTGAACATAATTTCTACATTTCTGTCTGAATATGGCCCAAACCCTCAGGTATTGACAGGTCCCATCAGGTACAGTTTGGGTATCCACACTCTAGTATGTCTTTCCATCCAATAATAATTAGCCATGGACAATAGGCAAATCCTAATGAATTTGGTTACACCTAACCTTTTTTTCTGTCTTAAAAACTTCAGTTCTACAAAACAAATTTCAAAATAAATATATAGATTGTAAGACATTTTATTAGTGCATTAATGCTTTTCTGAGAATAAACCCTTTTGGACACTTCAAATAGCTCCAGTGGTTTTTATCTTTTATATCACTATAAATGTAAAAGATGAATGGCTAAAAGAATTTCAAGTGAGGTCTTTTAGTTACGAAGATTACATGTTCATTTGGAGAAGTTTAATGAGTGTTTGTGTGTGTGTGTGTCAGCCTCGAAGGAAGACCACAGTGGCAGTTCCTGTTTTGCCTGTATCCTGCTAAGCCATGGGGAGGAGGGCACAATCTACGGCACAGACAAAGCCATGCCCATCAAGACCTTGACCTCGCTGTTCAAGGGAGACGTGTGCAAAAGCTTAGTTGGAAAGCCAAAACTCTTCTTTATCCAGGTACACAGTTCTGAAGACTTTCAATTATAAATGACAGTGTCATAAGAAGGATTGTGTTGCAGTTGATGATTAAGTTGTAGATTTGTGTCAAGTTCACCACCCAAATGCTCTGCGTAGGGGTCAAATAAAAAAAAAAAAAAATCATTTTTGTTGAGTAGACAAGCTCTTAGTAGCTCCCCACAGACGGGCCATAGTTAGTGTAAAGATATTGCCATCATTTTTCAGAGGTTAATTTTTAATTGCTTCACCAGGTCCTTATTGTGTAAGCTACTCAGCAATGAAATGCCATTTCATTTACTTCACCAGGCTTGTCGGGGTTCTGACTTTGATGATGGTATACAGACAGATTCGGGTCCGCCAAACGACACTGTGGAGACAGATGCTAATCCAAGACACAAGATCCCTGTAGAGGCAGATTTTCTCTTTGCCTACTCCACTGTGCCAGGTAAACCACAGTTTTAAATTAAAACTCATTTTAAAACTCTGCTGTGTATCAGTGAGCAGACCCTTCAGAGCCTACGTTCAGTGCAAACTCGTGTTGATTTTCTAGGGTACTACTCATGGAGGAACCCTGGGCGTGGCTCCTGGTTTGTGCAGGCGCTCTGCAATGTCCTCAAGGAGCATGGCAAGCAGCTGGAGATAATGCAGATCCTGACGCGGGTCAACTACATGGTGGCCACCGACTTTGAGTCCTGGTCTGAAGACCCACGCTATAGTGATAAGAAGCAGATTCCCTGTGTGGTCTCTATGCTGACGAAAGAGCTGTATTTCAATTGACCGGCAACATCACTGACTGTATGGTATGACACCACAGGCTGACTGACTGACTGACTGACTGACTTGATTGACTGTTTCAGGGACCGACTAAACGGTCGAAGCATTCAGGGATTTGGGTGTGTAGCTGGGCCTGAAAACCAGAACTCCGTAAAAAAAAATTTACAGTGGAACTCCATGTTCACGTGTTAATGGTGAAACTTCTCACTCTTCTTCAGGGTATTCTTTAGAATAATTGGTTGATCTGATCTTTGTCAACAGGCATTGTGAAATATTCATGTTATTCTACCAGCCTAGAAGATTCGCTGCCAGTTTCGTGGGTCTGGTGAATCATATCTGATTGTCTCTCTCTGTTTTCCAGCATTTGCTGAAAGGGGCTATACCTAATGGACAATGGCAGGCAAGGACAGGCAGTCGTCAGCACTAGCAGTTATTGCATGTAATCAGATTCTGAGTAACTGATATAATTGACATTTGGTTGATTTGAGAGTAATCTCTCCAAAAACAGACCATAAACATGTCTAATGCAGTCCAATGCTTCTGTCACTGTTACACAGCAAAATGAACTAGAAACCAGGTGAGATTTATTTTTATTTTTAAAGCCTTATAAATTAATCTTTATCTTTTAATTTATCTAGTATGACTTTGTAAGGCACTACAACAAACCCTTTATTTCCCATAGGAGAGATGAAGGAACTGCCTTGATTACAAACCTGATCTAATCAGTTGTTAGAGGCAAAAAAAAACATCTGGAAAATATATCAGATCATTTTTAGATGTCTTTGTTTTAATGTTTTCAGTTGTCAAAAAAGACAAAGACAGTGACAACACTCATCTGAGCAGAAACATGACTATGATGCTCTTGCCAAAGGTGTGTCTCAGTCTTCCTAGCAAGTTTAAGTTGGCAGCAGCATGCTGGCATCCTCAGGTTCTTTAATGTCCCACAAAGTGGGCCAATGCAATCTTCCATGTGTGGCTGAGAAGATGTGATCCTTTGCTGTGTAGTGATTAGTTCTATGAGATTTTGGTTCAAGTGCATGTATAAGGCCTGACCCCTCCAAATTTAGTTTTCTTGGCACAAGAACAAATGCCACATCATTTCACTGTAAATTAGTGTTACACATTGTTATAAACAATAGTGTAGTAACACATGCCAAGCAATGTTTTACTATTTTTATTTTTTAAATTTAGCTTTGTTTTAGAATTATTTAAAATCCAAAGTCACAAAAAGAGGAAACGATGCAATTGCTTTTATATTATTTTGACCACTTAGTGGACCTTAAAAACTGCAGACCTTATTGCACAATTTAGTAAATTGACTTATCTGGTATAAGACACCTGCTTCTGGTCAATGCAGTTAACATAAAGTTTGTTTATGCAGATACACTCTTATTGTCTCAAAGTCTGTCGATCAGAGGTAGCCAATCCATGTCTGCAACATACTCTGTCACTGATGCTGAAATGTTTTAAAATACTCACGATTGCATGTTTAGGGGACAAGTTTAGCAGTAGCTTTCATTTATTATTATACTTTCCCCTTTTCACGCTTTGTATTTTTTATCAGTCATATTTAATTATTTTCACAACACCTATGTTTATAAGTGGGAGGAGTGTGATTGATACTAGCATTCCTCATTCTTGTCCAAGACGAAACACAACCTCTGAATCTTCTCTGATCAGTCCAACCTGTGCTGAAAGGAAAGTTTGCTCCCTTTGTTTTGATTTGGAATTGAAGCAGGGAAATGTTCATTTTTAAGGTTACAATTTTGAATGCTTTCCTGTGTTAAATGCTGTTGTCCTCAGGAATATATTTGAAAAGATTTTGAAAGCTGAATGAAGAAATTATATTGAAACTATAAGCTGACCCAGTTTTTTTAAACATTTGTGCCAATACCTTTTAAATAACCTCACAACAGAGGAATGCTTATGTAAAATTTTATCTATTAAACATAAAGAATTAATTATATAAGGAGTTGTATGTCATTTTTTGCATAACCTTAAACAGACTACATTTAAAGGCTGCTGTTTTTACAGTAGGAAAATGCTTGACACTTGGAACAAGTTGCTAAAAACTTTAAAACAATAAATCTCACTGTTCACTTTAAAATTCAGCAGTTCATGCTTCTAATAATCACCATTTCAGCTTTCAGAAAAGATGAAGGAATTCAAGAGAATTCCAAAGAGTGCAAGAGCCGCAGGTAAACAAACATGAAAAAGTCTAAGGGTGGTGGGCTAACAAGTGTTGGTGACATTTCAAGAAACCAAAGTGCTCACTTCATTTCATCTCCCTCTTAATGTTCATTCTCTCAACAGTGGTGCAGATTAAACCTCATGTGAAGCCTTTTATATGCTTGTCACATATGTTAAGGCTTTGTCAAGAGGAAGGTGGAGAACAGGCTGCATATCTACCACCCATCGCCTCCACTGTCCTGGTGCACTTGCGAACACGTCGTGTTATTTTAAGAAGAGGCCATGAATCTCAACTTCATGATAAGGAAGAAAACGGGGTTTCAGACAGAGGGAGGCTAATAACTGGGCGAGCTGTCAGAGTTATTTCATGTCCTACTAAACAAGAAGCTCATAAGAGCTCTATTTATAGCAACCTGACTCTGACCTTGAATCATGTGTGATAGTGTGTGCGCTTGTGACCCACATAAGAACTCTGTGAAGTGTTTGAGACACTGGTGGAGTTTCTAGCTCATGTACAATTCATACACAGTACTGTTTACACAAATATTCCAAGTACACAAAGGGATTTAAGTGCGAAAGTAAATTAGTCTTACCTGATGCCTGTTTAAATGGTCTGTTGTGACCTCAGACCTTTAGTATGCATAGCACAGATGGCTACTGCATATATCCAAGCATCAAGACATCAAATGTGCTAAAAGCAGTCGGCTCTCCTTTGTCTAATGACGTCAAATATCAGTCATGCAGAAAGACAGAGTACAATAGTGTACATGGAGGTTTTCTTTTTAGAATTCAACAAACCAGAACGTCCTCATTTGAGATCAGAATGTTGACATTAATCTGTTGGTTTTTTTGTTTTGTTTTTTCACCAGAGTTCTTGTGGTGCCTTAAATCTTCAAGCTGTTGGACTCTAATTTAACACTTTTCACTCTTGTGACACTGATATGACACCACATCTGTAATCTGCATGAGCATGTGATCTTATATCCTCAAATGTCCTAAATAAATATATGAATAAATAAATAAATAAAATAAAAACTGTGAATATGTTTTTGAGGGGGAAAAGGTCCTTAAGGAACCTTGCACGGACATCCGCAGCTAAACAACACAGCGGGTAGATCTCTAAAAGCGAACCAGAAACTCCAGTTCCCAGCATAATTACCCTCCTACTGTTTGCCAGGTGAAGGAAAATACCCAGCTTCCTCATACAGCATCACTTATTGCCAGTGACGGCGAGGGGAGCAGAATCTCTGAACAGGTGCTCTGCAGGTATGCATGCTGAGTTTATATATTTATATATATATATATATATATATGTACATTTTGTAATGCATGTGCTGGAATTATTTGTGATACAAAATAGTCAACATATGTTTGGTTTTATATTTGTAAAGTGACTTTGTGTAGATGCAAAAAATGATGAGACAGAAAGAGAAGAACAAATATTTGAGTTTTAAAATTTAATACTCTGTGTCTTTCTTTTTAATTAGTGCACCAATGTTTTAACATCTTGAATGTTACCTGTTTGTGATATGAGTCTATTTTTATCCCTTCACTGTTTACAAAAGAAAAAAGCTGTGTTTATCCATCGGATAATCTTATGGTGTTTTAAAGAGGCAGACACTAATATAGTCCTGTTTTTCTTTTTTGTTGGTTTAGGTGCGGTGTCACAATGCATAAGGGCCAGAGGAGCGCAGGTATCACATCTGAAAATTTTGATTTATTTTAGTGCTCGTGGTTATATATTGTAGTATTAGTTCAACCTGATTTTATAATGCACCAAAGTAATGCATGTTAACACATTTGTTAATTGTTTAGAGAATTTCAGTCACTTGGTCTTTTCTTTGAGCTACTTTTTTGACTTTTTGTAACTAAGTAGTTTTCTGTTTTTTCATAACTTCTTCCTATTTAAATCCTTTGCTGGTTTCCTACAGAGTCCCTACAGGGAAAAATATTGATTCCTTTAACCAACAAGAGATTTAAACAAATGATCACAAAACAATAGGCTTTTTTTTTTTTGCTCTCAGGAGGAAGTGCAAGATTTTACAGACCAGTTGGAGTTGCAACAGAAATAAAATCTGGATTCCTGTTCAAGTCTCCTCCCTCAAAACGACTGAAGAAGGAGGTTATAAGAGTTGGCACAATGAATGCAGTATATTTCAGTTCTTTATGTTTGCATTGTGTTACATTTTGTTATTTATTTTTATCATGTTTGTTGTGCAGAAATCATGGAAGAAGCGCTATTTTGTGCTGTTCAAACTCAACGACCAGGAACATCAACTGAGTTACTTCAAGAGGCCAGAGGAAATGGACAGACCACTTGGAGAGATAGACTTGTCGCAGTATGTGATCACACAGGCCACAATATGGCAATTTTCTGTTTTTATTTTCTATATAGCCTGAAGAGAATAAAATATTGAGAATATAAGCTAAGATTCAAACTATATTTCCCCAAATCTCTTTAGAAACCTATATGCATGTTGTATCTGTATCATTTAGAATCTCAATGTTGTTTGTGAGCCCTCAATACCACCAGAGATGGAGCTGGGTCCAGAAGAACTTCAAGTGCTCCCCATCCTGTGTGCTGTACATCAGGACTACAGACCGGGACTACTTCCTTGTTGGAGAGACCAGGTCAGTCCACTTTTTATGGGCAGTATAGAAGGAATTTATAGCTCTTTTACCAACCTCCATGCATTGTATGACACTGTATTAATAAAAAGACATAACAAACCACACTAGAAATGCATACACACCCACTAACCAAAAGACCTAATCAAAAGCCTGTTGTCACTCCACTGTAATACCTGATCACAGTTTATAGCGTATGTGTATTTTTCAAAATGAACTTCAATCACTTACAATAACATTTGCAATGGCAATGGGCAGAAAAACAATTTATTTTAAAAGCACTGCTGGTGTAAACAACATTCAGGCCACAGCTAGGTTGGCCAGTCTTCCTCACTAAATCATCTCCCCCTGCCCTTTACATCATTTACTATTTTGGGAGTTCTAACAACCAAAATGAAATTATGGTGCTGCTTTCCTATATAGTAATAGTCTATCAGCTGATAATAGATCAGCCTTCCACTCTTCTCACCCCAGATTGCTACTAAATGTCTCTATTTCCACTTTATATTTGATTTTGGAATTGAATTTTAAAATAAATGCAATAACATAATTTGTGGCCTCTAAAAATGGCACTTTTTGTTCTTCTTTCTTGTAGTGAGGAAGTGGACAGCTGGTTCTCTGTCCTGTATGATGCCCTGAAGAACCGACCACATAAAATGAACAATGCAGAGGTACATTTAGATTTTAATTTTTCATGATGTTTTGTAAACGATTATACAAACAAAGCTCTTGCTCTGCGTTTTCTGGTATGGGCTCTATCACATTTGCTTACCAGATACATCACTACCTTTAACAATAATTACTTGATGTATTTTCTTACTTCTTAAAGGATTTGTCTAATGGGCAGCGAATAATTGAGGTAAATATTTGAGGTCTTTCGTATGTTCCTCACCTGCTGATGACAAACCACATTAAAGGAATAGTTTGACATTTTGTGAAATACGCCTATTGATCCGCTTGCAGAGATTTTGATGAGAAGATCAATATGAGCTAACTTGGCATAAATACTAGAAAAGACAACTAGTCTAGCTATGACCAAAACTGACCAAAGTGCCATGTTAATGAATATAAGAGGTGGCTCATGTATTACCCCCGTTTCCAGGCTTTGTGTCAAGTTAAGTTAAGCTAACCGACTGTTGGCTGCAGCATTTAACACTCACCATGGGAGTGGCATCCATCTTTTCCTCTAACTCTTGGAAAGAAAGTAAAAGTATTTTACAAAATGTCAAACTATTTCTTTAATTTTGCATCATATTTCTGTTTCACATATCTCATCACCTGGCTCAAATGAGTGCTAACAAGGTTTAGCAGCCAAAGAGTTGCTTTGTTCTTCTTCCACTCCTTTATTTGCCCTTGTCTATTGCTTTATTTCCTGTTATCACCTCCATTCTCACTGCATTTCAAGTGCCCAGTCTAAATTCTCTCAGTGACACCAAGTTCACTATATCATTTCATCAGCCATCTATTAATTGTGTTTAACAGTCAGCTCTTTATTTAAGTTTTGAAAACA